GTTGCATGGTGCATTTTGCATACCAATCTTGAGATGTATATTCATACGTAAATAATGTCAGCACAGAAGAAGATATATCGGAAAAACGTGCAGAGAAAGTTTGGGATAATTCCATATCGTTGTGACCATTAGCTGATTGGATTCACTCGTCCATAGTGCATTTTGTGCAACAAAACCTTAACTAACCTTTTTTGAAATAGCTGTATACACCTAATTCAAAAAACGTTGTCATCGACAAAGGCGATAGGCAATATACGATAGGCGAAAAGCTATAGGAGATAGGTCATTTCAAGACCCAAGAATAGCTGGAATGACTTGTGTTTCTTCTTCATCTTCTCGTCAAGAGTATGGACCTTCGTGCTGAGACTGATTCTTTGTATTCAACGAAACCATTTCCATGTCGGAATGACCTATCGCCTATAGCTATCGCCTTTGGCGATGACAACGGTTTTTGAATTAGGTGTATGTGAATTAAAACTCCTAAAGATATAACTTGGAACATTTCTGTTTACCTGGGTCTAGCACGTCCCTGTGCGTCTAACTGGACAGTAGTGACACCCAGGCGAACGAAACGAGTGAACAATGACTGCTCCATGTTGGAAAATTTCTGGAAGGCCATATTCTTGATGACAGGCGGAAGCTAAGCAAGAAATAAAGAGAAAAAATAATTATTTTCCCACGTATTGATAACTTAAGAATAAGTGGACTTCTTAGTTTTAACCGTATCGATGTAAATGCTCAAGCACTGCTGCTGAAGAAAGAAATAATACTTAAGAGAATGGCACGTGATATGAAATATGGGCTGCAGGTGAAGCACATTACCTAGACATAAGACAAAATGTGTAAGAATCAAATGATAACAATCGTTTRCATCTATGAGAGTCAAAGGTCAACCAACGCAATTTGTGTTACTTGCTTATCATGGCAACAAAAAGTGTTTGATAACGTACCTGGTTATGATCACCGATGAGCACCACACGTTTTAATTGGTTATAACCATCCTCGGGATTCTTAAAAAAAATAATGGTAAAAAATCAAGTCAATATAGCATAACAACAGAAGCAGCAACAGTAGCGACAATAAAACAATAACAGAAGCAGCAACAACAGTAGTGACAATAACAACAATAACAACAACAGTATAGTGACAATAACAACAACAGTATAGTGACAATAACAACAATAACAACAACAGTAAAGTGACAATAACAACAATAACAACAACAGCAGCAGCAACGACAACAGCAGCAGCAACGACAACAGCAGCAGCAACGATAGCCACAACAAAAGTTAATCATTCTCAAATTATTTTGTGTAGAGAGACTGTGATGTTTACTAGTGATAGATCACCTGTAAAAGAAGTGGAATAAAGGTTTCGATTTCCAAAATCTGCGCTGCTTCTTCCATAAGGACATTATCGTACTAAAACAGAACAAAAATCGATCATGTAAATAAACGTTCCGGGGAAAAATTCCTGGGTAAATATTTTTGTTGGTAAAATTAAATATATCTCCCTTGAGTATTGTTTTTGCTGTGCTGGTGATTGTTTGAGGCAAAGTATTGAAAAATGACGATAGATTCCAAGAGTTTTGAGATAAAGGAGGTATTTAGACAAACTGGGTTTTTCATATGAAGTTAAAATACCTTGAAACCAAGCTCGACCAAATCTCTTCGTTTTAGAGCAGCATGGGTACAGGTCATGGCGATGATCTTGGCCTCTTTTACCAGCAAGTAGTTGGTTCTATCGCGACCTTGGAAATAATTGAATCAAAAATGCTTATCAGGG